AAATCTTTATTGAACAAGTCAGGATACAATTCTCAGGAAACAGAAAAGGCGCTAATCCAATCACCGAACGCGCACGGCCAGTCTGGTTAAAAACTCTACCATAATAAATAAGTTATTTATTGAGTGGCTTTCAGTGTTATTTAAAATAACATTGAAAGCCACTCGACTAAGTGGAAATAATATGACGTAAAGAATACAGAGAATAATTTTGTTTACATATTTATAAAAATAAAATAACAAATTAATGTTATGTAAATTTACTTTTCTGAGAATGTTTAGGCCATCAGAGAAGGCCTTGCTGGCCCTGAGGGTCCACCACTGGATTTTCCCATACACTAACAACAATAATTACATGTAGTCTCCACAGACTCAAACCACAAACGACGTATCGCCTTTCAGTGTTATTAATTAAACCATCGTTGTAAAAGGACACATTTGGACACTTAAATGCCATTCACGTTCCATTATTTTTTTTACTCGCATGAAAAAATGGGGGGATGCAAACAAAGAGTGGAATCAGCTAAATTGCGTTTGAGTGTTGATCAAATTGTGGTGTTAATACCTGAAAATATAAAAGCTCAAATTATGCTCTCTTGTCTCAGATTGAACTTTAAATGCCGAATCCCAATCCATTCAGTCAAAAGCAAAAATGAAAAAAATAAAACCCGACAAAAATATGTACATTTGAATTTGAATTTGACTGTAAGCCTCCAAAGTCACATCCAAAACTTTATCCCTTCACTGGAGTACAGACTTACATTTTTAGGACAGATCTCGGTTTTGTCGGTTGCTTCCGCTCCTCTAGGATGCTGGAGAAGATCCGTTTGTGTTCTACAGATTTCAGATGATCGATGACTTTCGACATCTTCTCATGGGGGCTGTGGATGGCTTTGATCTCATCACTTAGAGCATCTCCCCTCATTTTGAGATCACTTATTATCACGTCAACATTTTCAACCATATGGGTTGAAATATCTTTGTATTTATCAACAAGGCAGCATGCTGTGGAAAGGAGGAGAAAAGAAACATCCCAGTTTATTATCTCATAGTGTTTGTGTTCAACGTAGCAGTAATAGTTTGTCTTGGCTTAATTACCTCAAAGCTGTACATGCTTCACGTGATATGTGAGATATGTGTTTGTTTTAAAACATGTTCCTGTCATTGCTACCTCTTGTACTGTTTTTGTGACCGCCTGAATGAATTGACATTACATTCCTGGAGGCAATTTTGTTGGGCGACCGCTCCTAGGATGGTTAATAAATGTTTCCCATGTTTCCCATCTGTGGATATGGGCTCAGCCTGGATTGCCAGCATCCGGGACCTGGAAATGGCTTTGGAGCCTTTTCCAAACTGACTGATTGCCATCACTTTCTCGTTTGTTCTTGAATGTATTTTTTTTGAGAAGGAGATGATCCGGGGGTTGTGGTTGTAATAAAGTGCATTTAAAAAAACATCATTATTTCGAAAATATTTTGTGATGACCTGAGTTGTCTTTGTGACGTATCCAAATTGGTGTGATGACTACCCAGTGAGAAACTAAGGAAGTGGGCAAAGATTTGTTCACATAACTGGATGTAATGAACATGTCACACGTGAAAAGGACACATCATAAATGAGGATGATATGTTGTAGCTCCGAGACACAAAGAGCTACAGTTTTTTCTATTCAGCAGATATTTAATTACTTTTAAGGAAAGTACTCTCAGTATCCAAAAACACAGACTTCATTTTTGAATTTGATGCTTCTCGTGGCAAGAAATAAGTTTCAAACTATAGTCAAACTTCGATTTTCATCCATAATCCGTTCCAGAAGGCTGTTCGAAAACCGAAATTGTTCGAAAAGCGAAACCACGCTCTTTTTAAAATAAAAAGTGAAAAAAGTGTTTACAGAACACGTCTGCTCACAATGGAAAGCAACACGAGGATGCGTCACTTCCTCGTCTACCCGAGGAAGCGTCACTTCCTCGTGTAAGGAAGGCGAGAGGACTCAAATGGTGCATTCAATTGCGCTCAGTTCGTTTGAGAACCGAAATTTGTTCGTCATCCGAGGCATAAAATACTCGAAATTTTTGGTCGAAAACCGAATTGGTTGAGAACCGAGACGTTCGAAAAACGAGGTTTGACTGTAGTTGCTGGCACAAAATGTGTAGTAGGAGGAGCTCAACTTGATTCTCCATGATAATGTCAAATAGTAGGTCATTTCAATGGTAGCTCAGCTAAAGTCATGGAATAATTGGAACAAGACATACAGCCACTGGTGCCGCTGGTGCCGCTGGTCCTGCTGGTCCCGCTGGTACCACTGGTAGCACTGGTAGCACTGGTGCTGCTTGTACCAGCCTCTAAAAAGATGCAGTTACAAATTTACAGATGTTCTTTTAATACTGGCTTCATATACCTTTATGATCCAAGTCAAACAGTTAGAGCAGTGCTTCTCAAATAATGGAGGAGGCTCCGTCAAGGGGGCGCGTTTCACCTCAGGGAACGAGAGGTAAGATCGGGCCGCCCGAGCCCGAGCCCGACCCGACCTGACCCGAATTTCAGGTCGGGTCGGGCCTTAAAATGTCAATGATTGCTTCGGGTTCGGGTCGGGTCGGGCTTCTCTCTCGCTGACTTTTTTTTTTTTTTTCGAGGCTGTCAAGTTTTGGCCACGAGAGACCGTGGTTCGCAAAAAAACAGAAGTCGCCTCATCACAACAGTACTGCACTAAGCTCTTGCAATGACAATTCAAATAACTCCTTCCTGTCTCTATGATCCACCCATCATTATTATTTTTTGTCTCTCTGCTTCTCTCTCTTACAGTGCCGCGATAGATTCTTAAGGACGTACTGCTGCGGTGGTTTACGGCCCAATTTTCAACCCGTCAAAATGACGGACAGCCTTAAATTTTCCCGTCCACTCTCAAAAAAAAAAATCCGTCAATGATAGAAAATTGTCGGTTAATGTAACCTCTTCAGAAACAGAAATATAAAATATGTAAATGTTTATACAGTCTTGTTTAACTTATATTTCGTTCCAAAAGACAGGCTTTGTTCTCAGAAATCAACCCTCCTCCTCCTGAGTCCTCACAAATAAAATATGAAATGTCGGGTTTGCTTCGGGCTCGGGCCTGCAAATCAAGTGAAGTGATCGGGCTCGGGCCGGGTCGGGCTTAAATACCCTCGGGCCGGTTCGGGTCGGGCTCGATTTTTTAGGACCGATCTTAGCTCTACAGGGAACATGCTTTTTTTTATTTTTTTTATTTAGTTTTTTTTTTTTTTTTTAATTGTCCAAGAATAAAGTGCAACTGCACCTCCACTACCATAGCGGGCAGTGGCGCGCTCATGGGAAGAGTGTGCGCAGGGAACATTCGCTCGGTATTTTGTTTGCACAGAGCACGCGCGCTTTGCACACAGCACAGAGTATGAATATGAAGTGTAGACACGAAGAGAGAGACAGAGATAAAGAGACAAACGAAAGTCTCCCGAAAGCTAAGACAAGGAAATATGAAGAAGCGTATGTAGCACTTGGCTTCCCTGTGACTACTGTGGGAGACGAGGAAAGACCGGTGTACCAACTGTGTCTAAAAATGTTGGCAGTGGACATCATGAAGCCAAATAAATTAAGGGGTCACTTAAAGATATTACACCACAATCACGATGAGTTTTTTTTTCAGTGAAAACGTGCCGAATATAGTCAACAATCATCCCACTTTGTGACTGCTAATTGTAGCCATTAATCCAGAGATTCTTTGATTAAAAAAAATCAGCACAAATTTATATACAGTCAGACCTCAGTTTTCGACCATGATCCGTTCCAGAAGGCTGTTGTTCGAAAACCGATTTGTTCGAAAATCGAAACCACGCTCTTTTAAAAAAAAAAAAAAATCTTTATTGAACACGTCTGCTCAAAATGGGTATTGGGTAATTGATTAGGCCTATTGTTTGGCCTAAGGTGACAGCGCAACGTATAAAGAGCAGCATCACATTAGGCCTATTGTTTGGCCTAATCAAGACCCAACGATAGGGAATTTAGAAATCAATGGTCACCATAGGGGTGTGACTAACCATCCCCACCCAGTCCTCAAACAGGCCACGCTCAGCTTTTTAGCGCAGAGCAACTTCCCGGAGTCTTCACGGAGACTTCAGGGTTGTCTACCGCTGACGAAGCTTCTGTGAGAGAAGCGAAACGTCCTTTTTTGCTTTTTTTTGTTTTGTTTTGTTTTTTTGTTTTTTACCCACAGGTACAGATGACGACTGACAGAACCCTTTCTACGATGAACTTAACATACTTATAGCTGCTATGCCATTGGCTATTACCTAGCATCTTCCTGGCATCCCATTGGCTAAGAGGGACTTCTACCGTTTGTGTCTGTGTGTAGATAGAGAGGTAAATAGATAGATTTGTGTCTATGCAGCGTCCTCGTCATTCGCCCCTCCGGCCATGAGGTGTTTCGATAGTTTTACGTCAATGTGAATCACCCAGAAAAAGTGTTCACCAGTCGGGCGATCGCCCACTATGCTGATGTCTGCCTTGGACATTTTCGAAGCCAACAAAAGCAAACGTCCTTGGATCAGTTCTTTACCAAACGCCAGCCAAAAACCACTTCTGAGAGAGAACATTAACTAATTGACGACAACAAACGATGAGGCCGCAATTTTAAGTCAAATGACCATCATTTTTATTCTTTACTATATTCTTTGTTTTTTACATTATGCACAACTCTTATTTATTGTGCAATAATCTAATTGTTACATGTATTTGTTACATATTTTGATGCCTTTTTATGCTCTATAAAACCTTTCTGTCTGAATTTTGGGGGGCTTGGAACGGATTAGGGCATTTACATGGAAAACGCGTCTCTACTGACAAAATTTCCGAGTTAAGAAATTTCTTCCAGAACCAATTAATGTCATAAGTAGAGATACCACTGTAATTACACAAAATCTGTGACATTACAAACGCCTGATGTGTTCTTTTACTGTATCCACAGTCAAAAGTGAAAGCAAATTTTATGACCCCCTTGCCCCCATTTCCTGATGCACTTTTTACAGTTTGCTGCTGGTAAGGAGTTATTCCATCAGAAACAAACATGTCGAAAACAGTACATATAGTTAGCCCCTGCAACCAATCTCCTCGAGCGTATTTATAAGGTTGTTAACTTCATCCTTGCCCAGAGAGAAAATCAAGACAGTCAACAACCCCTCCATCGTGCTGCGCGTCCCCTTCTTCTATGCCCCTCGGCTCATCAGTTACTTACCTAGTTCCTGGAAGTCAGTGCTTGTCAATTCTGACAGCATTTCAGTTGTTTCAGTTACACTTGCAGCCATCGTTTCTCGAAAGTCGAGTCGCCGTTTCCTCAAGAGTCTGTGAGGGATGTGGCTGGTGGTGGTGGGAGGAGGGAGACTTGTACTTTGTCCACGCGTCAACAGCGCAAACATGAAACTGTGAAACAAGGACGCTGAGTGTACTGTGTACACATAGCTACAACATGGTTTTAGATCGAAAGATTTCATTGTAATGTTATAGGGAAAATCTTTAAAATATGATTTTCTCCCTATCCTGTCTTGCATGCAGTTATTTTTACCCAGCCGTTTTCAGGGGGTATTATCGCTAGTGATGTGACAAATGGAACAGGAGTCACGAGTCATGCCCCGCACAAAGGGAGCGTGGTAAAATGGAGCCCGTATCGAGGCCTGCCTCGTTTGTTCTTCATATCACCTGACAGAAGGCAAACGAGGCCCTGTTTTCAGCGATCACATGACTGACTCACATCGTGATTTGTGCTCCATAAAAAGGTGCGGAAAACCCAGGAAGAGTCCCCTGCATGACCGTCTGACGTGAGTCTTGGATCATTGCTGCGCTACTTCGACTGCTTGAGAATGGAGGCGGAGCCACCCAAAAAGCGAAGGACTTCACTAGTTTGGGAGCATTTCGAACAGATATCTCCCAACACTGCGAGAGGGTTTTCTCAAAGGCAGGGGAAATCATTTCCAAAAAAAGGAATCGACTGAGCCCCAACACAGTCAAAATGATTTTATTCCTTAACAAAAATCAATAAAATACACAGTGGCGGGCCGTGCATTTCAACCTTAGGCCTTCAGTGACGTCACATATTATGAACACAATACTGTCTAGGCTCGTCAAGCAGCACTTAATTTCAGGAGCATTTAAAAGCATCAAGTATGCATTCACAATCAACAGCAGGAAACTACATTTACAGATAGTCAAAAATAAAAAGATGATTTAAAAATACGAAATAAAATGCCACCCAAATTACGCTGTGTGATCTTAAACAAGTCTGTCCAATAAATTGCGCGATGTCGCAGTTTCATATAAGACGCCAACCAAACAATAACAAAACAAACTATTCTTTGAAAATAAAGTAAACAGATCATTTGCATTTTGAAA